ACAGCCCCATCACCCTCTCCCCCCAACCACATCACATCAGAAACGCACACACAGCACCCACACGCCTCGCCCCCCACACACACACACGCACACACAGCACACCACACACACACAACAACATACCACACGCCACACACAGAAACACACACAAACACATATCAACACCCACCCACACACAACTACCACACAACACACACACACACACACACCACACACACAAACACAAACACACTCACAACACCACACAACACACACACACACACACACGGCGCGCGCAGCGCCGCAGCGCGCAACACACACACACTCAGACACCACACCACACACACACACACACACACACACACACACACACACACCCACCCGCAAATCGCTGCACACACACACCACACACACCCACACACACACACCACAACACACACACACACACACAACACACACCACACACACACACAACACACACACACAGAAAGACGAGAGAGAGAGAGAGAGAGAGAGAGACAGAGAGACAGACAGACAGACAGACAGACAGACAGACATATATCAGAAGTAGATAATAGGGAATCACTACTTCTACTTTTGACATATATATAGCTAAAATTACCACTGTTGTTATATGGAAACATGCGTTTTTACTCGAAAGGTGTCGCCACTATTTCGCGAGTGCCTACATTTTATTAATTTAATGACGGTACATTTGTAAATTTACAACATGCGTCTCCGAGCTTCCTACCGTCAGTGTTGTATGTTCGCGCATGATCAGTACATTCCAAGAAAACACTTTTTTGTTAATATAACACACTTAGGGTGGAGTTCACATTTGTGTAAGTAGTTTGTTAAGAAAGTTGTTAAAGATGTTGAAAAATGTTTCCGAGCTCTTATTCCCGGAACATTACTACGCAACATCAAAGTCATAAAAGATCTAAATCATCATCCCAGTAGGGCCAAACTACCAAAGGCTCAATGTACTACACAAGAGAACCAAGACTTCACAAGACCTTTCAATATGAGCGAACTGACTAAGGGTATCAAATTGATGAAAAATAATAAAGCTGCCGGACTTGACGATATTTTGCGTGAGCAGATCAAGCATCTCGGCCCCGCTGCTCTTCAATGGCTGCTTGTTATGTTTAACAGCTGCCTCTGCACTAACAACATTCCAAAGCTGTGGAGGAAAGCCAGAGTCATGGCAATACTAAAGCCTGGTAAAGACTCAGCTAGTCCAGCTAGCGATAGGCTCATCTCTTTGCTCTGCCATACATACAAGCTCTTCAAAATACTCATCCTCAACCGTTTGACCCCTTACGTGGATAAACTCCTCATCCCAGAGCAGGCAGGTTTCAGACCAGGAAAATCATGAACAAGCCAACTCCTTAACCTTACCCAGTTCATCGAAGACGGGTATGAGAAATAGTTAATTACTAGAGCAGCTTTTGTTGATCTCTCCGCAGCCTACGATACAGTCAACCATCGAATTCTAACCAAAAAACTATACCAGCTATAGTAAAGGATGTGAGACTAGCAGAACTAATCAGGAACATGTTGGCAAATAAGCGGTTTTTCGTGGATCTCAATGGTAACCGCAGCAGATGGCGTAGACAGAAAAATGGCCTCCCGCAAGGAAGCGTCCTGGCCCTTCTGTTCTTTAATCTATTTTATTTAACGCTACTAAAGTTTTTAATTATACATATAAACCTATATAAAATGCCTTGTACACACCTTGTAATCCATAATTGTTTATAAATAATAAATAATAATAATGGTTTATATCCCTATCCTCCGCACGTAGTGTAGCGGAACGTATTGTTTTCGCGCCGTTTGTGTGTTTGTGTGTGTGTGTGTGTGTGTGTGTGTGTGTGTGTGTGTGTGTGTGTGTGTGTGTGTGTGTGNGGTCTGTGTGTGCGTGTGCGTGCGTGTGCGTGCGTGTGTGCGTGTGTGCGTGTGTGCGTGCGTGTGCGTGCGTGCGTGCGTGCGTGTGTGTGTCACCCAGTGAAGTCTCGTGGATAACGCGGGTCTGTGTGTGCGTGTGCGTGCGTGTGCGTGCGTGTGTGCGTGTGTGTGTGTGCGTGCGTGTGCGTGCGTGTGTGCGTGTGTGCGTGTGTGTGTGTGTGCGTGCTGTACGCGACTGTTAAAACGTACGCGAGGTTTCTTCTTTCCCTTTTCTCGAGTAATCCCGCATCTCGTATTTCGACGTTCGTTTTTTTACGCGCGTAAGTTATGTCTAATGATGATATTCCCTCATCTTCATCGGGGTGGGGGGGTAGCCTAGAGTTACAGCGTATAGCGAACCTACGCTGGTATAGCGTTTTCGCGGCTGGTGCGGAGGGCAGTAGCAATATCTCGCGAGTTCTTCTTCTTTTTGTCGTAGGCTGCTCGGTTGCTGCGGGACGTGATTCTTCCGTGTGCGGATCACATGTGATTTTTCCATTCAGTAAATTCAGCATACAGTGTCGGCGGGCTGTCGCTTGAATGTCAGCTGATTGTATGTGCTGTGTATGTGTAGTGTGTGTGTGTGTGTGCGTGTGCGCGTGTGCGTGTGTGTGTGTGTGTGTGTGTGACTATGTGTGTGTATGTGTTGTGCGTGCGTGAGTGCGTGCGTGTGTGCGTGCGTGCGGGCCCACAGGCACTTGAAACGTTTCAATAAAATATAATGCTAAATAAATACGAAATCTAATACTAGTAGTACTACAAAATGCTTAATGTTTCTATACTCTCTTTCACCTATAATTGCCGACAGTTTCCTGTCAATTCCGTGTAAATGCTCTATGCACACACACTACCGCCGCCATTGCCTACTGTGCACAGTGACTGTTAATATATATATATTATTATTATACTATATATACTATAGTCTATATATATTAACAGTCACTGTGCACATTGAGCAATGGCGGCGGTAGTGTGTGTGCATAGAGCATTTACACGGAATTGACAGGAAACTGTCGGCAATAATAGGTGAAAGAGAGTATAGAAACATTAAGCATTTTGTAGTACTACTACTAGTATTAGATTTCGTATTTATTTAGCATTATATTTTATTGAAACGTTTCAAGTGCCTGTGTGCGGGCCGCTCGGCGCTGCAGCGCATCGGAGAGCCTCTCCGTCCCTTGATTGGCAGGCAGATCTC